GGGGGGCGGAAGGTGTGGGGGGGGGGGGGGGGGCGTGGTCGGGGTGGATGCTGTTTTGGGCGGGAGTCGGGAAAGGGCAGAGATTCACTCACCTAGTTCCTGGGTCGGTCGGCGGAATGGAAGGGTGGGGTGCTAGCAGATTCGGGCGGTCTTTATTCCTGACATCATCAGTTGACCATGGAGCCCATCTAAAAGTGGGAGTGTGGGGGAAGGTGCCCAAAAGGGCACACATGGGAGGAAATAAAGACCATGATTTGGTCTGTCATATACAAGAGCAAATACAGAAGGTGATGGCTTGTTTTCACTTAGGCTTGAGACTGGGGTGGGAAGTGATCCCTAAGACATTCTTAGAAATTGTCAGTTCAACCAGGTTTGGTAACTCAAGCCTGGTACTTGGGACATGAGACAGGAGGATTGCTGTGTGTTTGAGGACAATCTGGATTAAATAGTGAACTCTAGGCCAGCCTGGGCAACTGTGGAGTGAGACTATGTCTCCACAGAAACAAAAGTATAAACAAATGAATGATAAATGTCAATCACTATCACCCGTTTCCCCATCTCTTTCTCCCCCTCTTCCTTCTTTTGACAGAGTCTTTTGTAGGCCAAGGTGGCCTTGAACTCCCCATGTAACTAACTATAACCTTGAACTCAAGATCTCCCTGACTCTACCTAGAACCTCAGGCACATGCCACCATACCTGGACATGGAACCCAGAGTCTTGCACATACTAGGCAAGAACTCTACCAACTTAGCTGCATCCTCTGCTTCATCTTATATCCACTGCTGAGTTCCTCTGATAAACTTTTCCCTGCAATTATTGCCATATTCAATTCTAGAACTCTTGGTACTTTTTGATACTTTGTTTCATTAGCACTCCTATTTGTGTAGGTGTTTTATTATATTTTCCTTGAATTAGTTATTCATCTCCATTTTCATTTTCTTGGCTGTATTTATAATGGTTGCTGAAACCTTTATTTGCTAATCCTGGCATCTGGGCTGCCTAAGGACACCTGGCTGCTCGGTATAGGGCCTATTATTTCCTTTATATGTCATATAGCTTTTATGTTACAAAGGGACATTTTTGGTAATGTAGCCACTTTCTGCTATGAATTTCGCCTGAAGGTAGCTGTTGATTGGTTTGTTTTAATTATCATTAATTATTTGTCTCCCCTGAAGAGTTTTGTTCATAATTTCTACTACATTTATTTTGTGAGTGTGCAGTTGTACCATGGCATGAGTGTGGAGGTCAGAGGACAACCTGTAGGAGTTAGTTCTCTCTTTCCGCTATGTGGGTCCCAGGGGCGGAACTCAAGTCATCAGGCTTGGTGGCAGTGAGCCATCTTGCTGGCCTCACCTGAAGAGTCCTTAAAAGAAGACATCAGATGTCTGCCACCTACCTCCTCAGCTCTTCTCTCCCTCCTGGATCCCCCTCTAAGAAGCTCCCCCTCCACTTCAGGGCAGGTCACCACACTGAAGGCACTGAACCTGAGACACTGCCCTCTGGAATTCCCTCCTCACCTGATTGTTCAGAAAGGCTTGGTAGCCATCCTGACCTTCCTACGGATCTGCTCGGTGGAGAATGCCTTCCCTGGAGGTGAGTCATCTCAGGGTTTGTAGAGTTTTCTATGACTAAAATGATCAGTACCAGGCAGACCTGCTTCTCCAGGCCCTACACTGACCCAAACCCATGCCTTGCCATGGTTCAAGTCCACTCTGAGTGAACTGCTCCTGTCTGGGTAGATGTGGGTAAAAGTTCATGGGAGAAAGTAAGTAGAGCGGTGATCATCTACAGCCCACTAACAAGCAATTGCCTTGGGGGGGGGGTCCTTGTGTTCCTCCAGACAGCTTTTTAAAAAGCTCCAAGAAGCATATCCTGTTCCTGCCTAGATAGCAGGAACTAGCTTGATAAGCATGCTGTCGCCTTGTAGGATACTTACTAAACTGCCCATTATGTTAACAAATGACCAGACAGAGAGGAGAAGGAAGAGAAATGGTGAATCAATCTTTGCCTTGACCTATCACAAATGTGCTGGGTTGCAATGTTTCAAAACAATCATATTCATAAAAGGCCCTTGTTTGTGTCTCCAGAATCAGCTCTGAGACAGGGATTCAAAAGCCCACGGATGGTTTTGGAGGTGTCCCGGGAAACTTGAGAGTGGCATTGGGTGGCCAGGGAAGGTGAGGGGCTGCACTCTAGCAAGCCCCTAGGAGACTTATATGCAGGGCAGCTTACAGAGCGCTGGTACTAAGTCTCAAGGATTCTGTACCTGCATGGTGACCTAGCTGAGGGTTCATCCTTGGGTGGCATCTAACTCCAGTGCCTCAGACTGCCTATGTAAAGACACATAGTTTAGGAAAAGGCAGCATGTAGCAAGACTCTGAGAGGTTGCAATGGCACCCAACGTCCCTGAAGGACAAGTTAACAAAGACAGGATAAGAGAGGAAAGACACTGTAGGAAGCACTTCATGCCTGGCAGGAGCAGGATTAGGCATGGAATTATGGGTTACTGAGAGGCAGGAGTGAGAATCTGGATGCAGCAACCACAATGCTATGGGTTGGGGCAGGGACTTAGCGCAACACCTGGTGGCACATGGTACTGAATACTAGAGGACTTAGGTGCCAAACCGCAGTGAGAAAGCAGCATTCTGGCAGGTAATCTGTGCTGTTGAGAAGTGAGGATGGCTTGAAGAGGAGTTAACTCTGCTCCAGACTGGAGGGGCTAAAGGTATAGGAGGTTGAATACACCACACTTCCAGGAAAGCTCTCGATCTGGGGCCAGGAAATGGTGCAAGAAGTGTCACTGTGACAGCTGTAGGGCTGCAGGTCCACCATGATGTGACAGATGATGGAAGTCCATGTAACATCCTGGCTCTATGGTAAAGTTTGTGATTGGAAGTCACCCCTGCTTTGTATTTTACTCAAATTTAAGGAAGGGGTTGTCAACCATAGAGTGGATAAGATATCTAGTGTTTAAGATCAGAAGAGGCTAGATGGTGGGGTCCAGTCCTGTCCAGTCCTGCATCTCCTGGCTTGGTATGGAGCCTCTGCTCATCTGAGAGCAAGTACGCAGCCTATGTCCTCAGTGGATGGGAGCCACACTGAGTCAGAACTTGTCTTTTCTCAGTAGTTCATACAGAACTAAAATCTCTAAAAGTCAGCAATGCATTGCCAAAGAACAGCAGGTACATGAGATAGCTCTTAATTGGAAATGAAGACTCAAGATAAGCCAGGCAGTAGTGTCACATGCCTTTAGTCCCAGCACTCAGGAGGTAGAGGCAGGCAGATTTCTGTGAGTTCGAGACCAGCCTGGTCTATCAGAGCTAGCTCCAGGACAGGCTCCAAAGCCACAGAGAAACCCTGTCTCGAAACCTCCCTCTCCCTCCCCTAAAAAGACTCAAGACAACTTGGCAGGGGGAGGCGGGAAGAAGAAATGTCCATAAAGGCGACCGGAATGCCACACGCACTTGGGCTAAAAGGTAGCATAGGTGGAGAAGGTACCAGGGGGACCAGGACTCTTCAAGCAGTGTGTCCATCACTGACCAACAGCTGTTGTGGGTCTGTGGCAGCCTAAGGGGTCCAGCTAGTCCTGACCCAAGTGGACTCCCTCCCTCCTTCCAGACATCTCAGCAAAAGTACAAAGACTGTGGCCCTGGCTGCTAATTGATTCCGGAGAGTGTTATTGACTTACAGGCCACTGTTGTAGGCAGCTTTTCATGTTGGTGAGACAAAATGCCTGACAACTATAACTTAAGGATAAAGGCTTGTTTTGGCTTGGGGTTTGAGAAGATACAGTCAGTCCATCTGGGGAAGTTGCGGCAGCAGGTACATGAAGCAGCTGGTCACAGTGTGTCTGTGGTCAGGAAGCAGAAAGAGATGACGGCTGGTTCTACACTCACTTTCTCTTTTTTTATTCAGTCTGGATCCCCAGCCCATGGGATGGTGCCCCCCTCCCCATGTTCAGGATGGTTCTTCCCCCTAGTAAATCTCTCTGGAAATGCCCTCATTGTGGCAAAGGTGTGTCTCTAGGTGATTCCAAATCCAGACAAGCTGACAATGAAGATTGGCTCCACAAGCACTAAAATGTCATTTTACTCTACTAGGAGTCTCAAGGGTTAAGATGAACCGCAGTGACCTTCCATGCACTGTGCAGGTTCATCCCCAGAAAGGCTTATCCAATGAGAAAGGCCTGAATGTCTCAAGCCATGAGGCAGCCATGGAGAAGGGGAAGGAGAAGAAGGAGAAGGAGAAGGAAGAGGAGGAGGAGAAGGAGAAGAAGGAGAAGGAGGAGGAGGAGGCTGATATCTTCCTGCCTATGGACTGGCTAGACCTGAGTGAGCTCCACAGATCCAGCATCTACTCTGAGAACTGGCCCAGTGAGGAGGAGATCAGGCGCTTCTGGAAGCTGAGGCAGGAGATTGTAGAGAATGAGAAAGTGGATTTCCTGGAGAAGAAGCTCTTGGCTGTCGAGCTGCCCCCAAATCTCAGGGCAGCACTAAATGCCAAGGAAAAAAAGCGCCGGAAGCCAGGGCCCTCAGGCAGGTAAGGCAGCACTAAGGCAGGCTTGTCTGATCTCACAAAGCTGTAAAGTTATTTTGTAATTGTCTGAAGCACAAGGTCCTCTTTCTAAAATGCTCCTCTATTCTAAAACTATTATTTAGACTATGTTGAGTCAGTCCTGAGTATAGGACCAGAACAGACCAGTAACAGAGCACACTCAGTAGAATAGGCCATGTGGATGAAAATCAGCTCCGGTATGGTATGTAACATGTGTACATGCAGCTGATGTGTGTGGTATGTGGTACTTCATGTATGGAGAATGAGGTGTGCCATCATATCTCAGGGAACAATAATGGGCTCCTGAGGGTGACAGTCTTAGAGCTGACAGTAGCCCGTGGTTTAAAACTATCTGAGCATTTAGGAAGAAACCCACAGGAGCTGGGAGTCTGAAGATGACAGGCAGGGGCCTTCTTAGACTCTAACTATACTGTGGTTTTAAGCATTATAAATGTTGTTTGTGGCATGTGTATATGTGTATGTACATGCGTACTCATCCGTGTGTGCACATATAGAGACTAGAGGATGACTTCAAATGTCTCACTCTCTGCCTTGATTTTCGAGACAGGGTCTCTCACCAAACCTGTAGCTTGCTATTTCTGTTAGTCTATCTGGCCAACAAGCCCCCTAGGATCCATCCATCTCTGCCCCCAATCACACAGTGCTGGGGCAGCAGGTTTGGCCACTACTCTTGGTTTCCACATGAGTGCCTGGAAGCCAAGCTCGGGTATTCACACTTATGTGGCAAGCACTTAGCCCACTGAACTATCCCTGCAGCTCCCGGGCTTGAGTATTCATCTAAACCTTAAAGCATTCATACATGTTGCAGCCAAGAAGTTTTGGAGTGTTTGGCACCCTGCACCATAGAAGCATGTGGTCTTGGTGGTCTGGGGCTGCTGGAATGATCTCAGTACCAGGTCATGGGCAGAGAGCAGTAGCATCTACTCTGCTGTTTAGCAGCCTCTTACCTCTTTTACACCGACTGTAATGAACAATAAGTTTATTCCAGCAATCATGGCTCTAGAAGTGCTTCATAAGTTTGTCTCTCTCAGCCACAGATACCAGGCTCAGCCCTGGGAGACTGATGTGGTGGCTTGAGAGCTTGGGGTTCAGTGTGTGGCCACACCCTCTGGTTCCCCTGCTGACACTGTGCCACTTCCTGGGAGTGGCTTAAAGATGACCTTTCCTATGGACTTCAGTTCAGTAGTGGGTGGTCATCTGGAGGACAGTGTTCCTCAACTGACATGGATCAGTACTGATGCTGTCCCTGGATTGCCGTAGCTGGGACCAGTGATGATTTCAGTATCCAGTGGACCCATCAGGCCTCCTTTAAAGCTTTCCTGATATTTATTGGGGTCTTGGTTTTAGTTTTTTGAGTCAAGGTCTTATACTATAACCCTTTTTCTTTGTTTTTGTTTTTTGTTTGTTTGTTTGTTTGTTTGTTTGTTTTTTGAGACAGGATTTCTCTGTGTAACTTTGGAGCCTGTCCTGGAACTCACTTTGTAGACCAGGGTGGCCTTGAACTCACAGAGATCTGTCTGCCTCTGCCTCCAGAGCACTGGGACTAAAGGTATGTGCTACCACCACCCAGCTCTACAACCCTTCTTTTAAATTTGCACATATTCAGCATTGTATCTCCCACAGATATGAGTGACCATCATGAAGTTACATTTTCTTTTTTTTTTTTAAGATTTATTTATTATTGTACATTGTTCTGTCTGCATGTATCCCTGCAGGCCAGAAGAGGGCACCAGATCTTATTATGCATGTTTATGAGCCATCATGTAGTTGCTGGGAATTGAACTCAGGACCTCTGGAAGAGTAGCCAGTGCTCTTAACCTATGAGCCATCTCTGCATCTGAAGTTACATTTTCATCTCTAATCATTTTGTGATGTTTTAGAAAGAAGTCCACCTCCTTCAAAGGCATCTTGCCCAGCCTCCCTTCAACGTACCAAAACACAGCTCGTTCAAAAAGGCTGGATGACATTCATATGGCAGCTCTCAGGGAACTCAAAGAAAAGGAGACAATGCTGGAGCAGCGGAGGAGGTGTGCCTGGGATGGGATAACGTCAGGCCTGGGGGCCCAGTGGCCAACTATGCTGGTATGATATTGTCACCAGCCTCAGAAGAGCTCTGGTGGCTTCTGCTCTAGCCAGGCTGGGTCTCCTTCCCTCATTTGGAAGCCCTCACACTCTTCACATAGTCTGTAGTTTTCGGAAATGCCCAGGCTCTTGCTCGACAGTCCAGAGACTTCTCCTTGGACTTGCACAGTATGGTAGTTAATGGGCATCTTTTGGGCAGTTTACTGTTCCCTGTCTGCATTTTCAAGTGCCTTGATCTGGCTTGTGTGGGCCCCACCCACCCCCCCAAGTGCCTTTCTCCTCCCCTGCCCATCCCTAGGACCTGCCATCATATCTAAGGAATGTTGTTAGACATGACTGGTCACCTGTGAGCTTCTCTCATGTTGGTACAATGACACACTCCTTACCCTTGGTTTCATGTGGCCAGCCTGTCACCTATCCCATTCTCAACAACTATTCTCCTCTGCCCTACAGCTCCACTGACAGCCCAGCTGTGTCCTGTTACGGGCCCCTTGCAGCCAGCCAGTATGGACCACATCCACAGTACCACAGGGCCCCAAAATTCCTGGTTGGGTTTGGCCAGTGGGGGATCCCAGTGGACATGTTCAGGGTGGTAAAAACAAGGGTAGAGCCTATGTCCATAGCCTCTGTGAGCTCCTTACTCACATGACTTTGGCTTCATCTTCTTGCTCTCCCACTTAGTTTTCCTTACTGTCCCTCCCCTGTATTGTCAGGATCTGGGATCCTGGCAGCATCAGGCTCAAATATCTGAAGCCTCCCACTCCTCCCACTGATGCCTGACTATAAATAAACCTCCTGAGGCCACAATCAGGAATTCTGCCTCAGTTTGTCTGGGACCTGATGGGGACAGACTGCTCACAAACGGCATCCATGGTGGCCCATGGCCAGCATCATACCAGACACTCTGTAGTCTTGTCTTCTTCCAGAGTAAGTCACTCATGAGAGCATGCCTTGTATCCAAAGAACCAGCGAATTATCTTCATTGTCCTGCCTCTGTGTTGTTGTTCCTTGGTAAGGTGCTATGGGGCTCCCACTTTCCCAATTAGGAACTTCTTGCAGGGTGAGCAGATCCCTTCTGCTCCCTGTGATGGAGAGGTGGAAGAGTAAATGGAATCCCTTGTCCAGGAGCTAAGTGGAAGATCTGGAACATGTCTGAACACTGGGGGCTGGGGACTCGGACCATCTAGGCAGGTGGCAGGACACAGCTACACCCGGGAGGAGGTATAGGGAAGGACCCAGCTCTGTACCCCATGTTGGAACCCAGGGGACCCTGGCACCTAGACAGGAGATAGTTGAGGAGGGAAAAAAAGAGATGAGGCCCAGACCCAGGCAGGGAAGCATGAACCAGTGCACAGGTGTCTCTGAGGAGGGCAAGAAGAGGCTGATCTGGAACAGGGTCTGGGGCCTCAACCACTGGAGCCAATGGCTAGAGTCGGTTCTAGTGGGGCAGATGGACTTGGGACAGCAGAGGTGCTTTAATGTGGCAAGGCCTCATTGCATCCCTGCCTCTCTAGATGTTGTGAACTCTATCCCTAGATGCTCACTTGGCCCTGGGGTTATGTGAGATGGAAAATGAACATTATTTACAGAGAAAGACCAATATCTCGTGAGAAGCTGCCATGACTCCGAGCAGGGTCTGCAGCCTGTGATGCAGTCAGTGCCTGCAGCCTAGCTGGTTTCTCCTTGGCCAGTGGGACTTGGAGAACTCGGCTGCCACTGCAAGGCATCAACCTGCGGCAGGAAGTGCACTCTACATCTAGGAAGTCTCAGCTGGAAATCTGCCTACCCCGTTCTGCTCAAAGTGACCGGAAGAAGCCCAGCTGAAGGGAAGGGAAGGGACTCCCAGCCTCCCACTAACTCTCTATGAACTGGTCAATGGGAGAAGGCTTTGTGCAGCTGAAATGACAGCAGATCTTGCAAGCTCTGCTTTGAAGTAACTTATAGCTTGTGACTTCAATGTGACCATGCTTCTTCTCCAGAGACAAGAGAGTTCTGCAGGAGTGGAGAGAGAAGACCCAGATGATGAGGAACAGGAGGGAGTTCAATAGATTCCAGCCTCCACTTAAGAACATGGTAGGTGGCAGGTCAGCTGGCTCCACCCCATATGTGAGCACAGAGGGGTTTACACAGTATCTGGGCCATCCCTCTAAGTCAGTGGTGCCGCACATAGCTCCACCCTGTGAGCACTGTGGCTGAGGCCTCTGTGTCAGAACCTGGCCTTTGAGTCTGCCCTCTGCCCACTGACTACTGGTTCCATGTTAAGGACTCGATTGTTCTGAGAGGAAAGAGGACGGATTTGAGGATGAAAGATCAAATAGCACTAGGTTGAGATACGTTGTGGACACCATCCTGTAAACTCCGCACTCTCGTGCCAGTCACCTTGGGACCTAAAGAACAGTAAGCCTTGCAAACTGTCCCTGACCCCAGGGTCCCCCTCTCAGTCTGTGTTTCACAGAATGTCTGTGCAACACCCATCTGGATTCCTTCCAGTCCACTTGCAGATGCTGGTCCAGTAGGGCATAGGGAACAATCAGCACCAGGGAGCTGGCTGTTCCTCCAGAATGTGCCTGGCGTCCTCTGTTCTTGGCTCCAGGCAGACAGGGTGCTTCTTCAATCCCAGCACTTGGGAGGCAGAGGCAGGTGGATCTCTGTAGAGTTCAAGGCCAACTTGATCTACAAAGTGAGTTCCAGGACAGCCAGAGCTACACAGAGAAACCCTGTGTCAAAAAAAAAAAAATTCCTTATATCAAGTAAGCCATTGGTTAAGTCAATAGCTGAAGAAGGTTCCAAGGTCTTGCACAGACTGTTCTGACCAAGCTATGCTGGCCTGCAGGTGAGGTCAGTATGCACAGTTCAAATCTTCTTTAAAACAAACAAACAAAAAATTAACTTTAGAAATTACAGTAAAGTTCTGAAGTCAATGCAGAGTTCCATACATCTCTTAGCCCCTTCATAGAGTAGTACTCAGAATAGGCATGCCTGGAGCTGCAGTATGAGGACCCAGAGGAAGACTGTTGCTCACAAACGGGTCCTCTTGTCACCTAGCATTGTTCCCTTTTGTGCTCTGTCTGGGTGACTCTTTTGACCTGATGCCTTGGGATAGTGCTGAACAGTGATTTTTGTCAGTTGTATCAGTTGTACTGATTTCACTTCCTAAGGTTTAGTGAGAGATTGTATTAGGGGCAAGGATACCACAAATTGGCAATGTTGTCTGTTTCTCTGAGAAGCTTTTCATGGGTTCATAGTATACCCTGTGATAATCTGAATGAGAATGGTCTCCTTGGGCTTCTGTGTTTTAATGCTTGGTCCACAGTTGGTGGAACTGTTTGAGAAGAATTAGGGATCTGTGACCTTGTTGGAGGCGGTGTCACCAGGGCTGGGCTTTGAAGTTTCAAAAGCCCATACCACTCCCAGTTAGCTCTCTTTCTGCTCAATGGTTGTCTCAACATGTGAGCTCCCAGCCACTGCTCCAGTGCCCTGCCTGCCTGCCTGCCTGCCTGCCTGCCCACCGCCATGCTCCCCACCATGATGGCCATGGACTAACCCACTGAAACTGTAATAAACTCTTACTTGTATAAGTTGCCTTGGCCAAGGTGTCTCTTCACAGTATTAGAAAAGTAAGACAGCAGCCTTGACCCCTTTCAGGGGAGCATGTTTGTCCCCTGCAGTCATGCAGACCTCCCCTCCATGGCTGATCCAGGCCTTGAGACTCATTCTTACTGATTCCTACCAGGAGCCTTCATCACCAAATCTTCAGTAGGGGGCCTTGCTGGCAGTGTATCATGTCCCTGTGTCACCAAATTCTGGTGCACCTTGAAGTGGAGACCACTGCTGATATCTTTTTTTTTTAAGATTTTATTTATTTTTTTTTTTATTTATTTTTTTTTTTATTTTTTTATTTATTATGTATGCAACATTCTGCTTCCATGTATATCTGCACACCAGAAGAGGGCACCAGATCTCATAACAGATGGTTGTGAGCCACCATGTGGTTGCTGGGAATTGAACTCAGGACCTCTGGAAGAGCAGCCGGTGCTCTTAACCTCTGAGCCATCTCTCCAGCCCCGCAGCTGTTGCTATCTTAAAATTACCCATTGTCACTGTCTGTCTGGGGAGGCTCATCTGCAGTAGGGCTGGCAGCTGATGGCTGGCTAGGGTTCTGTCCCTGAGTTCTTTTACCACCTAATATTTCCCAAGCTGCCATTGTTCATCCAACTCAAACAATGCTTTGTTTCCTTTAAAAAAAAAAGAAAGTGGGGGGGGGTGGAGCACACCCTTAATCCCAGCACTCAGGAGGCAGAGGCAGTCAGATCTCGTGAGTTCGAGGCCAGCCTGGTCTACAGAGCTGGGTTTCTGGACAGGCTCCAAAAGCTACACAGAGAAACCCTGTCTTGAAAAACCAAGAAAGGAAGGAAGGAAAGAAGGAAGGAAAGAAGGAGGGAGGGAGGGAGGGAGGGAGGGAGAGGGAGAAGAGAAGAGAGAAACCATTGAAATGTTTGCTATTGTAGAATCCTCCAGGAGAGTGACAGAAAGTAGAAGGTGGGGCTTTCACATTCTGATGCAGGTAGGGTCCCTGGGTGGTGTGGGTCCCCTGCTCATGGTCAGCAGAGACACAGGTTTGTCACCTATGTGCTATTGCTTGATCTTTGGCCAGAGGGGTGGCCACTCCTGAGACGGAAGTTCAAGAGATTTGGGTTCCTCCAGTCCAAACAGGACCTGTTACCTCGTGTCTCATGCACTACTTACCCAGGAAGCCTTTCTCAAAGATTAGTTTCTTAAAGTTATCCTGGAGCCTGAAGCAGGAGCTTCCTAATGATGTAGTCAGGACCACAGAGGCTTTTAGGGAAAGCCTGCTGAAAGCCAGCCTTGGTCACTCTGTTCATCCCAAAGGCTGTTCTGTTCTGGTCCAGCATGGCACTGCCTTCTGCACTGTAGGCAAGGTCAGATAGGGCCGTGTGTTCCTTATTCATTTAACACCATGCACTATGCAAAGTGTTCACTTTTGCATCCGTCCTGTTTTCTATGTATAAAAATTAAAAATACTTCTATCAGCCAGGTGGTGGCTCAAAAACAAAACAACAACAACAACAAAAAAAAAAAACGAAGAAGGAAGGAAAGAATGAATGAAATAAAGCAAAAAGGGCTGGAAAGAATACTCAGTGGTTAAGAACACTTACTACTCTTACAGGGGACCTGTGTTCAGTGCCCAATACCCACATGGCAGCTCACAACTGTCTGTCTGTCACTCCAGTTTCTAGGGATCCAGTGACCTCTTCTACATATATACATACAGGCAAATAACTCAGTGCAATAAAATAAATAAATCTTTTAAAAATATTTTTAAAGAAATCAAAGACTAATAGAGAAATGGACAGAGAATGTGGCAAGCAGTCCACAAGAGGAAATCCAAATGGCTAGAAAGTCATTCGGTGTGCACTGCCACACCTGTGCAGCTGAGGACCCTGCACTATGACCAGTCTGTGAACACAGACCCCAGCAGCCTCCTGGGAAATCATCTTAATAATGGGGCAGACAGACTGAGGATGCCGCTCAGTTGACGAGTGCCTTCCTGGCACACACAAAATCCTGGGTAGGAGCCCCAGCACTGCAGAAGCTGGGCATGTTATTGGGTGGTGGAGACAGGAGAATCAACTATGGATTGAGTTTGAAGCCAGCCTTGGGCCACATGAGGCCTTGTCTCAAATTAAATAAATAAATAAATAAAAATAACTAGTGTTCTTTGGACACTTTGGAGAGTTCATTTTTCAGAGATGACAGCAATCTAGTTGGAAACATGTGAACAAATATTTTTAGTTGTGAGGTTTGTCATCTGCACAAACACACAGTAGGGAGTAGATGCTAAGTCCCTGAGCCTACTTAGGGGAAACTCTCAGCTTATGCAGGCTCTTGCTATTGGGCTGGAGATCGCTAGAGGGTGCCAGGGTGCTGTGCATGGCTGGAGGCTGCTGGGCGGAGTTGATTCTCCAGCCTGGAGCAATGTGTGCCAAGCCAAAGTTAGCACGTGGGATGAGAAACTGCCATTGCAGAGCCCACTTGCCTTGCCTGTGCTTCCTATGACCCCTAATTGTGCAGGTCATATCCGATGCAGACACGGACTGCTAAAAGACTTCTGAGATTGGTCACTGGGTGAGACCCCAGATGTACCACTCTATTCAGAAAAGGATATTTCCCTTCTCCATGTTGTTCTGAAGCCAACAGCCTTGCCTGTGACCTTTGGGCCCATTTTTTTCTGAGCCTCCAGAGCAAATGCATGTTGACACTCTCTTGTAAAGCTGTTGAGAACCGCCCCCAGCAACCAATACTCCCTGTGCCTAAAGATTTGCCCAGTTTTCAAACATTTGCCTTCTTTTTGTTATTTGGGTATTTGGATGAACTTTTCTTGCCTGTGTTTCTCTATAATAGAAAAATATGTAGAGAGAGCTCCCCCGACAAATGCATGCTTTTAATTCTTAAAAAAAAAAAAAGTCTGACTTTAATGAGGGAAAAAAGAAACCACCTGGATTTCCTTCTGTTGGAATTTCTTTGGAAGACTTTTGACCTCCTATGGTAAGGCAGCTGTCACAGCCAGCAAGCATGTGGAATTCTGCTGTGTCCCAGCCCTATGCATTTCCGGGGATGAGGCTGTCTGTAAAAGAAGGGTGTGGTGGCTCCTGTCCTCTAACTATCTTCCTGGGTTCCTGGCGTTTCGGAGGGCCAGGAATGCTGGGTTTGAACTGCATGTGCTGGCAGATAAGACCCCAGCCCTGGAAATCTTCCGCTGAGAAGGGAAGATACAGGTCTGATAGGGAGGCAAGTCTGGCTGAGCTCAAAGTCCACCCTTGCAGGCAGATAGCACACAGCAGAAACCCTGGCAGGAGGCTCACCCCCTCCCCAGGCCTCACACCTCCTGCCCAATCTCACTCTATCTAGTCAGCCTTGGAACCTGACAGCATGCCTCCTCCTAACAGGCACACCTGCACGTACCTTGCACATAGTAGACAGATGCGCGCGCGCACGCACGAACGCACGCACGAACGCACACACACACAAACAACCAACGACACACACTGAATCTGGGGCTGGGTTAGTTCCCCACATCATCCCTGGAGGCAGCAGTGAGCAGCGTTGGTCACGTGGCATTTGTTGCCCTTACCAGCATGTCCTGCCTGGGCGTATCTGCTTGCTGGAACTGCAGACACAGCTTCAGATGCCATCTGATGGCTCTGCAGGAAGCTGGCCACTACAGCAAAAGGCCTGGGAGTAAGATCGAAATGTCTCTAGTCTCAAGTTCTGTTTCTGTAATTACTAGGATGAAACTCCCTTACCTCTAGAGGGAAAAGGGCAGCTCAGGTTCTCAAGAAGCCAGGATTAGGACTGAGCCTTAGCTTGTCCTTTAAGACTGAATGGAGCAGGGAAGATACAGGACTGGGTGGCATGGGGAGCTGGGATCAGATGGGAGATCTCAAGTCATAGCCAGAGGAGAATTTGAAGACTAGCCTGGAGATGGTGTGTCTGTGACATGGAGTAGAGAGGCCCTGGAGGAAGACCACAGCAGTCAGGTGACAGGGTGACCCAGGCTGTAGGGCAGAAGGCAGGGCTGCTAGGAAGACAGGCTCTGTCTACATGAATCACAGTGGTTAAGGAAGGCCAAATGGGATATGGGTGACCATCAGTCTAAGTGACTTCAGGCGGTCCAGAAACAAGGAGTGTTCCTGGGATGCTGTGAGGAGTGGGGCTGGATTTCCATGACTTCAGGTAGTCTATTAACATTACAAAGGCCACATCAGTTTCTGCTCTGGGCTGGGCCCTTTCCCCATGCTCTGTTTTCACTTCCGAGAATTTAGTGAACTGTGAGATGGGAACTGATTTGGTCACATGGCAGAAGGCCTGTGGCATGTCCTGGAAACACACTGAGTACTCTGTGGAAAGATCTAGCACTACTTGGCCTTGAAGGCTGTTAAGTGTGAGGGGGTAAGAAGGTGGGCAGTACCAATGGGCATATCTGGACATGCCCTGGTATCCCTCAAGATGTAGTTTCTTTATCGGGGCAAAAAACAAGTCACTTGTAGGTTTGTCACCTGTCCTACTCATGATGTCTAGATCCACGGCCAGAAGCTCTGTCCTGCAAGCGGGCCAAGTTCAAGGCCTGCGCTTTACATACTTGGTTTGTATTAGCACTTATGTATTAGCTTGAAATTTCGTGATTTAAAACCAACTCACACCTGTATAAACGGCTTGGGTCTTGTTACAGTAATGCTTTCTGTCATGTGACAAAGTCAGGGTATCCTAGGTCAACTCTAGCAACCTTGAGCACACCTAGGGTCCCTTGCTATATATTGCCTCCACTCCAGCCTGGTGTGTTGGGCATTTGAGAGATGCCCGAACCAAAGAACAAGGTGGGAGTGACTGTTAATCAAGCCATAGGACTGCGGTGCCTATAAAGAATGTCCCCCTGGGTGGCCTAGCAGGGTCAAGGGCAAGCTCCTGAACCAGGCAAGTGAATCTGTGGGGAAGAGAAGCCTTTTCATGTTTTGCTAGAATACCTTGTTGCATTTTTCTAGATGGCATCAAAGATTCCCTTTGCCACAGACCTGATAGACGACCGGGAAATGCCAGTGAATCCATTCTGGAAACTGAAGCACAGCAGAGAGAGGACAACACAGAGCAGTGCAGAAATGAGGTTGGTGGCGGTTCTGCATTCCAGGCTCTCCAGCTCAATGCCACAGGCTGTCCAATACGTGTGTCAAGTGCCACGGACTGCCCAGCCTGCTGTGAGCACCCAGCATAGTGGGTAATCTGGAAAGACCCAGTCCTCACCCTTGGCATTCCATTACCCTGCCTGACGCCCATCTGGACACAAGACTTGCACGCCAGCTGTTCCAGTGTCTGGGCACTTGTCTCACCCTCAGCCCTGTCTTTTCAGCCCGTAGGACTACAGCTAACTTTCCCATCGTGGTGCGCTGGGCATGGCTCCTGCCAAAAGATTTCATGAAAGAAAGGCAGAACACATGAGAAGGCTGGTTCATGGTACCTTAGGATTTGACACCCTAGTATTGGAGTCTTTGGCTAAGGAGTCACCAGGTTGCTGATGGAGATGGCAGCATGGCAATTGTCCTAAGAGCTCAGGCCAGCTGGCATACCCACCTGGAGCTCAGGAGAGCATTGGGGAAGCTTGGTGCCAACAAAGGACCAATAGGGGAGAGGGGAGATCCCTGAGCCAAGCCACTGGGATAGGATAGAAGCTGTGTAGGGTCCAGGGCAGGTGACAGAATACTAACTGTGTGTGTGTGTGTGTGTGTGTGTGTGTGTGTGTGTGTCGGGGGCTCCTGGTATTTAGCCAGAGGTTCCTGACCTCTTTCTGCCATTCTAAATCATTGTATTTACAGGCCACAAATAGCAACCTTGGAGTCTCAGCCCAGTGTTAACGGAGATAGAGACATATTTAAAAAAAAAAAAAATCTCAGATCAATGAGATATTCTGCTCTGTCTAAAGGTTCAGTAAAACTGGTTTACCTATGTAAAGGAGTGATGTTCTCCACATATATAAAACAGGCTCCTAAAAATAGGCACACCCACATAGCTTCTGTAACTGAAGTTCGAGATGGTTGTTAGCTGCCATGGAGGTGCTGGGAACCAAACCTAGGTCCCATTTAAGGTTCTCTTAATCTCTAAGCCATCTCTCCAGCCTCAACTTGAGGGGGTTTAAACATAGTGGCCCTGTAGGTAAAGATGTTTCCTCAAGCCCAGCATCTCTAGGGGGGAGGCAGGGAACGACCTGGTGCCTCGAATGGTTTGTGGGCTGCAGGGGAAAAGGTACTTTCTCTATGGTTGGAATGAGGACTACTAGGCTAAGGCCAGCATCCAAGCAGCGAGTGTCTTGTGTCCCAGTGCCTCGCCATTAGCAGATCTGGAGGAGAAGATAAGGCGGCACACACAGAAGATCCGTGCTCGAAACTTCCTGGGTACCAACCCACTGCAAGACATGAAGATGGCCAACCAGGACTTGGAAACTGTGAGTATCTGTTGCCCTGTTTGATAATGTCTCACTAATGGAAGGGAATTCTATATCACGGCAGAGCAGGTACCCTCTTAACAATGTGGGTTGCCTAGCACACATGTATTAGTGGGCTCCAGAAAATGTCCTAGCTGCACTAGGTATAATAGGATGTGCATACTAGCTTACGGCCTCTAAGGACAGAACTGGTCCATTCCACAAGTCTGTGTAGTCTTTGCTTAAGGCTTCACACCCAAAGATGAGGCTGAAGCCCTGTTCCAGCTGAAATGGAGCTGCTTAGAGAGGGCTCATTGCTGTTGCCTAGGGAAAAAAAAAAAAAAAGTGGGCCAAATCCATGGAGATCTGAATGGCCACACCCCTGAGCTCCTAAACAGAGTAAATTGTGCCCCTAAACCCTTCCCAGACAGACTGTTGCACAGATTCCAACCTTGTGCCTCAATGTCCCTGCTTGTGAGAGAACCACAGAGTAGAGGCCTTTCCTGCCCTGGTAGAAGCTGGTAGAAGGAAAAAGAGGTTTTGTGACAGTGGTACTTGGGTGTCCATGACCCCACCACTGCTTAGTTCCAGGTTAATCTGCCATTGGCTCAAGACCAAGTTTTCTCCACAGTCTATCTGTGGCTCCATCTCTGTCCTGTCCAGATGGACAAAGGTAAACACAAACCCACCAGGAACCTTCCACATCAGCACATCGCATTTGCACCCAGATTAATCATCACCCCACCACAGCACAAAGAAACAAAACTGGTGCTACCATTCTTGACAGAAAAAGTAGAGGCAAAACAGCTTTGAGGTGAAAGCCCTGGATGCCCAGTAGTAAACAGTTGCAGCACTGGGCTCTGGCCTCCCAGAGATGCCACACCCCCTGATCTTCAGTCACTGTTATCTGACCTTTGGCATAATAGCTGAGCCTATCTCCTAACACATAATGAAGCCAGCAAAGTTTTGTAAGAAGAAAGTCCCTGGAGGTGTAGTATTAAGAGCCTTCTGAGAGAGAAAACACCAACCAGTTATGAGATTCATTCTACAGAATCCTAAAACACAGGAATGCAAACCCAGACCAAATCCCAGCAAGGATTTGGTACCAAGTCCCACTCCTAGCAGAGAGGCTATTGACAAAGAATTATAGGTGTGTGAGGGTGCCCTAGGGTCTGCCCCAGGTGACAGTCAATTGACCACACTTCAGTGAGCCACACATCCAAGAATATTTGGACAGCACAAATTGGACTTAATGGGTTTTCTTGGGGGAGGGGGGTTGGACACAAAGTTGGGTGGGTAGGGAGAGGGTCTAGATCTGGGAAGAGTTGGAAGAGGTGGGTAAGTACAATTAAAACACAGTAGACAAAATTCTCAAATAACTAATAAAAATGTCTTTAAAAAAAAAAAAGGATACAAACCTAGGGACAGTGGGCAAAAGCTGTAAGCCTGTTCCCTGGAGAGTCACCACTGTCTCACTAGCCCATCCAGCAGAGCCTGTCTTCCTAGGGAGTTCATTCTTACAAGCAGGAGAGAGGTGTGGTGACAGTGCCCGTATGATGCCTTCCTGTGTGTGTGAGGGCTCCTTGGGGGTCTGCCCCGAGGTGAGTTAGTAGATATGGAGGAGCTACTGTGGGGTCCTGGGGACCTAGAGAGGGGGCCATGGCTACCCACTTGTCACTGTCAGGTCAGGAAGAGCCTTCTCAGTGTACTACTCTCCAACCCTCTCAACTGACACACAGACTGCATAGGTGGTCCCTGGAATTAGCCCAACACAGAGTGGCCTGTGCTCACCCAGCAACACCTGTGAGGTCTGGTTGTTGTCTGGGGTCTCATCCTGATGTGTGGAGAACCTGCCTGCTCTTGGCCTTTCAAGAGAGGCCTCAACAAGCCTGCAGGAAAACAGAAAGGGATAAACAGAGACCAAATTAAGAAGTGCACAATTGGGCTGGAGCACTTGCTGCTCTTTCGGAGGATCTAAATTCCGTTCCCAGCACCCACACTGAGACTTACAACCATCTTTAACTCTAATTCCAGGGGACCTAGTGTAAGCTCTGACCTCCATGGCACCACATATGTGGTGCACATACATACATGCAGGCAAAACACTCATACACTTAAAACAAACACATCTGAAACTTTTGAAGCAGCAGCAGCACTTGATAGCATTAATCCCCGGGCACTGGTGGAAACAGCTGCTGCCACGAACCAGGACAAGTGCCTGGAGGTGAAATTAAATAAATCCCCCAGGAAGCAGAATGAAAAGAAAAAGGAGATGGACAACAGAATTGAAACAAGATTTTAAGACAGCAACAGCTAGAAGAACGGTCTGAGAGGTTCAAAATGGGCTAGCCTATTTCAGAAGAAGCTAGAGCAAGTGAAAGGAACATTAAGAAAGGAAAAAGATTAGCTTTCCTAGCATCCATGAAACCCTGAGTTTGATCTGCAGCACATGGGACATGGTGGCACATGCTTACAATCCCACATTTAGGAGTAGAGGGAGGAGGATTAGGAATCCCAAGGTCATACTTGGCTACATAGTGAGGCTCAAGCCAGAGTGGGGCTACACAAGACCCTGTCGCAAAAGAGAAAAAAAGAACTACTAGAGAAAGAGTACCAGTAGTCTACATAGTAGTAGCTTGATGTCCTGACCAAGGACTAGATAATCCCATTGCTAGGTAGATCATGGAGGCTGAGGCCAAGCATCATAAATTCGACTGAGTCTTTTTAAAATGTTGCCTGTCCTGCTTGTCTCACTTACACCTCCTTGTATTCTCCCCAAAGGCCAAGAAACTTCAGGAGGAATTAAGGAAACTGAAACTGGAGATGACCTTGAACAGAGAACACTCATTTGCAACTTTCCCTGGAAACCTTTCCCTTCACCCACCAGCATCACAGCCTCAAAATATATTTTTTAACACAAAATACTAGGAAAGTGATGCTGTCAGCAGGGATGACAAGTACCTCCCACAGTGAGGAGCTGCTACCCCGTGTGGTGTAGCACGGAATTGGCAGTAGGGCAACTAGCGGGTCTTCAGCTGCTCCTCCGGCTGCAGCTTTGGATAGACCTCTCTTCTGAGGCTATAGGTTCAACTGCATTAAAAGGAAGAATACTGTAAGCAAGCCTAATTGCTCTCTTCTGTCACTGTTTCCACCATCCAGTGGACAGGGGCCTTCAGCCAAAGCCGGAAAGGTCTCCTAGATTCTGTTGACCCACGGGAAGGGGAAGCTGCCGGCCTAACTTCTGCAGCTCCATCCTCATTCAGATGGGGCTCAGTGGAGAATGGTATCCTGTTCAAACCCAAGTGTCCTTTGGCCTCGACCCTTTGTCTGTGCAGGGACAGTGACACCTAGCCCCAGGCATGCCTTCACCCTGTAGGAGCCCTGGGCAACCCACCACCACCAAAGTTAAAGACCTCCTCCTACCCACCCCTGTAATCCTTCTGCCACTCATTGAGGGGCTGCATGGCAGGTTCCATCTCAGGGCTTTTTCCTCAGGATGTTGGGAGCAGACATAGAACTATTCAGACTTTCTGTTTCCTCTTGTGTCAGTTCTGGTTAACAGGGTCCCCTTTTGAATTTCCTAGTCTTGTAAACAAAAGAATGTGAAAACATGTTTGAAGGGTTAGGAAGATGGTGACTCAGTAAGTATTGGCTGCTCTTCCAGAGCACCCACACGGCAGCTCACAATCATCTGTAACTCCAGTTCCAGAGAATCTGACACCGTCTTATGGCCTCCATGGACACAGGCACATGCATGGTGCACAAACACACATGTAGGCAAAACACACAAAATAATTAAAAAAAAAAAAAGACTTGGAAGGAAGCTCAAAGATCATTTTATTAGAGTTTGAAAGAAAAAAAACAAAGCTGGAAACCCCAGGAGTTTCTGGTACAAGGAAAGGGATAAGAAAGCCATTCCATAAAATGTTATTACATTTGTGTGTGTGTGTGTGTGTGTGCACGCACGTGTATGTTTGAGTACAGCAAATACATGGATGTCAAAGAACAATTTGAGTTTAAGAAAGCCATTCCATAAAATGTTATTACATTTGTGTGTGTGTGTGTGTGTGTGCACGCACGTGTATGTTTGAGTACAGCAAATACATGGATGTCAAAGAACAATTTGAGTTTGAGGAAGTCCGGTCTCTTCCTCCATCATGTGGGTTCCTAGGGAATGGAGTTCAGGTCATCAGGCTTTACTGGCAAAGCCATCTTGCTAGCCCAAGAGACATTGTCCTTAAACTAGTGGTAATCAGCTGTGAGCAGCTGCCTGGAGATGGGGGCAGGCCTTCAGAGAAGAGTGAGAATGCCCTGTGGGTTGGGCAAGCAGGCTTAGGAGTTTGGCTGGTTTTCAAAAAAGACGAGGGAGGAGACCAGAGAGATGGCTCAGCTGTAAACATGCTTGCTGACAAGCCCGATGGCCTGACTTCAGTCCCCAGAGCCCACACAGTAGGAAAGAACCATGGCACACGTTGGAACCCACATACACAACACACTTAAAATTTTAATTAAAAGAGGAGGCTGGGTGTGAGTGGTGGTGCACGACTTTAATCATAGCACTCAGGAGACAGACGCAGTGGATCTCTGAGAGTTTTAGTCAGCCTTGGTCTAAAGAGCAAGTGAAACCCTGTCTCAGAAAAAGAAAGGAGGAGGAGGAGGAGAAAAGGAAAAGAGATAGATAAGTTACACTTTTAGAGTTAGAACTCAGAAAAACAAAACAAGCTTAGCAGCAAACATCTATAAGCAACTGCAATGAGGGAGGGTCTTCAGGCTGGTACAGTGTGCATTCTTACTACAGAGATTATCCCTCCATGTGATTGACAGGCCAAGTTGGGTTAACTCTGTAATCTCATGATCTTTTGGGCAGCATAAAATGCCATGTCTTCACCTGGAGCCAGAGGTACAACTCAGATCCTATTCTTTTAACCAAAAATCATTTAACAGGAAACATTAAAAAATAAAAGAGCTGGGCAGTGGTGGTGCACGCCTTTAATCCCAGCACTCGGGAGGCAGAGGCAGGTGGATTTCTGTGAGTTTGAAGCCAGCCTGGTCTATAGAGCAAGTGCCAGGAGAGGCTCCAAAGCCACACAGAGAAACCCTGTCTCAAAAAACCAAATAAAATTAATAATAACAATAATAATTAAAATAAAAAGAGGGGTTGGTGGGAGGTCCTAGCCACTAAACCTTAACAACCCAAGTTCAATCCCTGAAACCCAATTATTTTTAACATCTTTTAAGCCATATGAGGTGGTGTACATCTGTAATCCCAGCACTTCTACAGATGAAGTAGAAGGTGGAGACAGGAGAATTGCACAGAAACTCACAGGCCAGCTACTCTGAGGTATTGCTGTGTATCAACAGAAACAAGAGACCCTGATGACTCAACAAGACAAAGTAAAAACTGACCCCACCCCCCAATTGTCTTCTGGCTTCCCTATGTGTATCTGCACTTTAGATACATACGTGTGTGTGTGTGTGTGTGTGTGTGTGTGTGTGTGTGTGAGAGAGAGAGAGAGAGAGGAGAGAGAGAGAGAGAGAGAGAGAGAGCACATGTGTAATATGTCTTTAGAGACCGAGTTTCTCTGTATAACCCTGGCTGACCTAGAATCACTCTAGATCAGGCTGGCCTTGAACTCACAGAGATCCACCTGCCTCTGCTTCCTGCATGCTGGGATTAAAGGAGTGTGCCATCACTGCTTGGCTAACTGTTTAAATCAAAATAGTCATGCTTTCTCAAGCTTTCCCAAGCCCTGTCGCCTCCACCTTCTTTTCATAAGGCACAATAAATCAAATATGAGTGTTAAAATGTTAATGAACCATGATTAAGGCTCATGTGTATATGAGCTTCACACATGGCCTTGTTCCTTTGCCAGATAGAAACCTAAAACTTTCTGGGAATCTCACAAAGACCATAAAATTTTTGCAGTAAGTACTCAATGTCCATTTGGTTTTGTGACATAGGGTTTAACCTTATCTGCTGTTATTCTAGCCAGTGCACACCAGGAACCTTCTCGTTCTTATTTACTGGGGAAAAAAAAAAGTTCCTTAGTAAGCCCTGAGACACAACTGCAGAAGCTACCAAATTCATATGTATGATTGCTGTAAAAACACTTAAGTGTGACTCTCTTTAGAGGGCCACACCCATGCTTGGTTCTTACCCTTTCCCTGGTGTCTTTCCCTTCCCACACCTCACCCACTGTTTAAATGTTAAAATCTCCCCAACTCAAGAGCTTCATAGTAAAATGAATCCCAGCTTCCCCTGAATGAAGATCTCTGATCTCAGGCTGCTTGGAGTGGCAGGGGCGGGGCCATGTTTCCAGCCACTGGTCTACTGGTACTGGCAGGCAGCCCCCACCCCCACCCTCATCCCCACCCCCTCCAAGGTCACACAGGATACTGCAATCTTAACCCAAAGTCCATACCCTTAGCCAGTAATTTTCTGGCGAGTTGTCTTCCTAATCTTGTGATATTTCCTAATGGGAAAATGCCACAATTATCCTGATGTTTAGGGGGCAGGATCTCTTCAAAGTAGCCCTTGCAGGGTAGCCTGAAGGGAGCCAGTCCAGCTTGCAAAGCTCTGTGACCTGTGGGAGGCCCAGGATTTTCAGCTACAAAGACTCCGTGAGGCCTTGCCATGGAGGCCATCCAGGGAAGTGTGGCCTGCCCACAGTGCCTCTCCCCACACCCCCAAGGGAGCCTTGGTGTACTCTATACCTAGTGAACCAGGCTTTAGGGCCTGCATATCACTGCCCTTATTCTGTGTCTCCACCCAGACCAAGTCCTTGATTCTATCTCAGAAGCCTCAGCTCTGACAAAGTCAGGCCTTGTTGAAGGGACTGCCCAGCAGGCAGGGCCTGGTAAATTCAGAAAAAGGAAGCAGAGGCAGGCCCAGGTATGCTGGTGTGAGTGTGTGTGTGTGTGTGTTGTGCATCATGAGTTATCTGGCCAGGCCTGTGGCTGTGGCAGCACCCTCCATTTTCATGGTTTGGGAACACTGTATGGAGTGAGTCAGTGAGACTGAGAAGGACAGTGCTCTGCCAGGACCTGCAAAGAAGTCATCAAAGCAGGCACGGGGCTAGTGGCAAGTAGGGGCCAGACAGCTGTGGAACGTGAATCTTGAAGCCAAGTCTAGGGTCCAAAGCGGAAGCAGCTTGCTGCAGGCCTCCTATCCCAGTCCAGGTGTTTGGGGGCTGGGATGAAGCCCTGAGTGGCCTGTGTTTAAATTGCAAATCCATCTCCTTGTTAGCTGCTTATACATTCTACCAAACAGAGAAGAGGTTTTTAAAAATGGCTTCCAAATACACATCCAAATTCACAGACCTGGCAGGCAGACACAGAGGCACAAGTGGGCTGTGGTCTCTACTCTCTGCTCTCCAGCTCTGACCACCAGTAGTCCAGGAGCTTTCTGCCACAGGCTGAACCCTAGGTTCCCTATGTCCCTCGGGTCTCTGTTTCCCTCCAAGTTAATTCTGTCCCTTACTATGACATCTGGGAACTAATAGAAGCCCCTTACCCACACAATACATTTGCAAGGTGTCCCTCTGTCCTTACCCCACATCAGAGTTTGACAGCTAGCAAACTTTCGGTTTACCCCTTGCCTCTATCAACCAAGGGTCCCTCCACAAGGATACCTGCTTACTCAAGTGTCTTTTTCCACTGCCCCTTCCCTCACAGACCCAGTTGCTCACAGCCTGTGGGTTTCCCCAGCTTGTGAGCTACTGAACTGGGGGAAGGGGTCCTGCTACATTCTGTCCTTAGCAGGCACCTCCAGTACTCAGGCACAGATGCTCAGTTGGTTTCTGGGCTGAGCGAGTGGGCAGCCTCCCACCAGCCATCCACCTGGGACTGGGCTGGGAATGGTTCCTGCAGCCACCATTTTTGCTCCAAATTCTGCTGCACGGCTCTAAAGAGAAGGCGTGAGGATAACAGACGCGCTCGAAGGAGGCGGGGGTGTGGGGGGGTGTCCCTCAACCGGACTCCGCCCAGGCTTTCTCATCTGCTCTGGAACTAGGGCCACGGCCTTAAAGCTAGGTAGACTGGCGTCCTCTGTGGCGTCAATGGTAGCAGCCCCGAAGTAGGTCCCAGCGGGACAGAACTCCATTCCCAA